AGCGAGAGTTGTGCAAACGAACTCGCCCATCCTCGTGCCTGAAGCACACGAGCTGGGTAGCTCGTAGGCTCTGGCTCCAGGGCGTTACAGCCAGGGGTCGGGGGCTGAGCGCTGGCCAGGACAGCCGAGCAAGCACGTCAAAGAATCTTAACCACCATGGACAGCTCACTGGCTTCCCCAGCCAGCTCTGCGCCGTTTACAAACTCCACAGGAGCCACCAGCGAGGTCGATTTTTATGCCCTGGAGAGATGCCATGTGTTCCACCGTCTGTACCCCCTGCAATCGCCAAAGGCAACCACCGACCAGTTATACATAGGCAGAGCAGGCTTCAGGTATTAATAACCGTCTCCTTGTTCTCAACTCAGTCCTCCAAGATGTCACTGGATTTTAAGAATCAGATGGAGAGAGTTGGCAAAGAGAACTTCGTTCCAGTCCCTTCATTTCCTCTCCTCTCCCGCGCCGCCGCTCACCCCGCCTTGGCTTTGCGGATCGTGTTAAATGAAATAAAACAGACGGGCCCCGGGGCTCTGGAGCTCCGGCTGCACCGAGCTTTACAGGCGCTGGGAAGTTGAGCTGGGAGAGAGCGAGTGCCCGGACTCCGGAAAAGTGGAGTCGTCCCTCCAAGGCAACCGCATGCGGACCTGGACCCAGATATGGCCGTGGGTGATAGCGCGGGGAAGACGTGTCTGCCTCACTTTCCTCGCACACCAGCCCCACCAGGAATTACTCATCACTTTATACGAGTCTTATCTTACTTTTGAATCTTAAATTGGGCTGGGGGGAGGAAAGAGAGGAAAGCCCCACTCAGAGGAAATTCAAGCGCACCCTGGGACCCTGGGACCTTATCTTTGGGTCCCACTGTACCCGGAGCTTTCCCTCTCCGGCGGCCTGAATCAGGGCTCTCCCCCCCACACCCCAAATAAAGGGGCGCTCTGGGCCGGCGACTTTGGAGTGTGAAACCACTCACCCAACCCAGTGGGATAGAGTGGAGTGAGAAAGCCTCAGTTCTACTGCTCAGGTAAAACGGATTCATTGTGGCAAGGGAGAGTCCAGATTCTCAAGAGTGAAGCCCAGGGGAACCCAAAGCACTAGCTAGATACATGAAGAGATTGCCAGCCTTAAGATCCTGCAAGCTAATCAGGCCTCCTCCCTGGGGATCTACTCCACAGAGGCGACCAAGTCTGTAGCAGGAGCGGGGCCCTGTGAAGATAATCCTGATGCTCTAAGGACTCTCCGACGACCACTGCCCAATCAAGGACATCAATAGGCATCAGTCTAGGTGATCAGAAGTCGAACTTTCCCTCCAGGCCCCCCACATCCTCCCTCTGTCCCTGACGAGCAGACTCCTCAGATACGTTTTGATGGTCATGGGTTTGGGAGGTACACAAGTGTGTGATGTTGGAGAACCCATTTCCTAAAGACTTTCTCACCTCACGAGGGCTTGGGCTCCTCCCAGGAAAACTGTCTCCCTGCTGGGCTTTCTGATCCTAGTAGGAAAAAGCTGAAGGCTGCCCACTGTACCCAGAGCTTTCCCTCTCCAGTGGCCTGAAAGATTAAAGGCAGGCCTTCAAATCCTCCTGTTTGCTAAGGTGCATTTACATGCCCAGAAAGCAGTGGGGCATAAGGAAGAGTGTGAGGCCCACCTTTCCAATAATGGGGAGCCTTCAATCAGTTTCATGCATATCTAAGCTCCCTTCCCTCAGGCAATTCCTCCAGATGTTAGCTGCCAGTCCTGTTCCTGGAGTCTTATCCTTCTCTAACTACAAATACACCTACCTGATAATAAAACACACCCTTCTCTATCCTTACTTGTGATTTGGAAGCATTGCATCCCTTTTCCTTTTGTGCTATGTTGAGGTCAGCCTTCTCTCAAGTCTCAGTCCTGGCAAGTGATTAGAGACTAATCAAATGAGAATATTATTTGAGCTGATTATGCAACTTCTGTATGTAAACATAGAAAAAGTTTAGAGAAAAGAAGGGATGTGTTTAGTTGTTTGGTTTCACAGAATTTTAGAGACATAGCTTGGAGCTACAGATTGGCAAATGTTAAATCTGAATGCTTATTGGTAATAAGAGGATTCCTGAGCCCAGGTGCACTGTTTAAAGAGCTACCGATACCTATTTGGTTTGTAATGCTTCTCTGTTTTCTTGTTGTTTGGGCTAGGAAGGAAAGAAGAAAGATGAAAAAGCTAAGCATAAATGCTAGTTTTTTTCCCTAAATTACAAGAGGAAATATCCCTGAAGATATATATCAACTGGTGAGTCAACAAGGATTTAAGAGTAATACACTTAAAATTTTTAGAAAACCTCTTTTAAAGTAGGATATAATAAACTGCCACTGGGAATGGGAAGATGGAAGTCTGGAGCTTGCTCATGGGCTAGGCATTCGTGTAGGTGTAGATCTCACAATGCTAAACTGTCTTCACATGGAAATACTGCAGATTAAAGGCAGGCCTTCAAATCCTCCTATTTGCTAAGGTGCATTTACATGATAGCAAGGCCTAAGCAGACACTGAGCCTCTATTGGCACTTGTTCTATTCCTAAGACTGGAAAAAGGAGGGAGGGGCTCCTCTTGTGTCTCATTTGCAGTTGTGAGTTCTCAGCATTATCATGGCATTATATTGGTAGATAGATTATGATGTCAGAAAATATCCTTTTCAGAAGAAGTAAAAAAGTCAGGGTTCTGGGTATATATTGAGGAGACTTTGCAAGAGCTACCTGTTGCAAGCTTGCAAGAGATACCTGATTTCTAATAATTGCCTTTAGTGGGAACCAAAAAAAAAAAAAAAAAGCCTCTTTACAAGAAGTTTTTAATTCATTTAAGCTTAATTTTACTTTTTTGAAGAAAAAAAAACATATTTCTGGAAGAGTCTGCTGAGACCTCCCTCCATTGGCCAGAAGACCAGAGAGAAGACTGTAAATCAAGGAAAAGGTGAAGTAATAAATTATGAGGAAACTTGGGTATTCCAAGAATATAAAGACTATTTATTTTTCCTGTGTCTATATTTTCTCTTTTTGTGGAGGAGAGGAAATTCTAAAAATATTTGATAGATGTTTTGCCATTAACACCAGAAAGGGGGGGGGATGCAGAGAGGGAGAAGGGGGTAAATTTTGCTTAATTAGTAGAAAAGGCAACATAAATCAAAGCAGTCTATTGATGCCAACCTTCAGTTTGTAATGTTCTGAGAGCATAATGAATTTATTTACAACATAAGTGATTTAATACTTGCAATCTGATTTTTGTTTTAACCTTTTATTGAGGGAGGTTGACTTTTCAAAGCCTGGGTAGTTTGAAACTTGGCAAAGTACCTTCTGGATTTTTTTTTTATTGTGGAAGCAAATATTATCATTTTAATGTCAAACAACTTGCATGTATTAAATGGCTCATTTGTGATTTACTTTTTTTTCTTACAGATTTCTCCTCTTCAGATCTAATGATTACATTAGGCTCCTGAGTCTTTTGGGGAAGAATTTATTATAAATCAGCAAGTGTTAGAGGTTCAAAGATTGACATTTCTGGGTGCTGATACTTTGTCCTTTCATGCCATGCAAACAGGTCTAATATTTAGAGATTCTTAAATGTTCAAGGGAAGTTGTGGAAATTCCCAGATTTTTTTAAAGTGGGAGGAAGCCAAGTTTTTTTTAAAGTATGAAATTTAAAGTAATCAACTGAGGAAGAGAGGAACTGAGAAAAGGTAACCCAATCCAAATTAATCAGCAAGTCAACTGCTAGTTAGTTGCGATTAAGGAGGGAGAAAGAAGTGCGGCGAACGAGGGTCGAGGGTCGGTGAGAGGGCGCTATTTCACCACCCTAGGTGAAAATCTGCGGAGCATCAGCTGGACAGTTAGGCTTGATAAAAGATTCCTTTAAGCATTTCAAATCTCTGAATCCCACTATCCCTCTGGAGAGTGATGAAACCTACCAGCAGTATTGTCTAGAAGACAAACATCTCTTGAGTGGTTCCAAGCACTAGAGTTCATTTCAGAGAGATACAGGAACCAGTGGGGGCTGGTATCCACACCCGCAGCAATCCTTCTTACCGGATACTACCCAGTAATTTAGAGCAGCCTTCCTTCCCCGCCCAACAGATTTTGGAAGAACCCCCGCTTTCCCTTTGCGTATCTGAGGTACAGCAGCATATAGCCACAGTAGCTCCTCATCTGCCCGCTGAAGCAGCTGGGATACAGTCAACCTATAATCTGTAACGAGGGACATGGGGTGGGGGAAGGGGCGACAGAGAAGGGTATCAGAAATAAGGTGGGTAGGACTCCTCCCGGTGGGTGAAAAGGGTCTTGGGCGCACTCCAAGTTCCCCTCTGTAATTAAAAAAAGGGGTCTCCATTTTTTGCGCCGGCTTTCTTGGATAGGCTCCAGATGTCCCCAGCTGTTCTCAAAACAGCAAGAAGTGCAATCTCGACCTGAAGTTTGAAACTGTTTTTGCTCTTCTAAGAGAAAGATTCCCCCCTTCCTAGCCAATGCTCCCCACTCAGCTTGACTCAGGAAAGAGTCTGGGAGGAGGGTTCCCATCTAACACCCGAGCTTCTAGGCGAGCTTAGGACTCCTTAGAATCGCAGGCCAACGCCCGCGGTCCTGGGCTCCCGCTCCTTGGCCTCCTCCGCACCCGTCAGCCCTCCGCGGTCTCCACGCCCGGCATCTAGCCCCGCGCACTGGGGGCTGCTGGCTGCCCAGGGCCTTCCGCTCGCCTTCGGAACGTCGGCTCCGGGATCCTCGGCGCGGGCTGTAGCCAGCTGGGCCGGGAGGAAACGAGCGGATCCGCCCACGCCCCCGGGTCGGGGGATGGTGCTGCCCGGGCCGCGCTCCGGGGCTCCGGGGTGGGGCTCCACAGGGCTCCGGGCAACGCTGGGGGCGGCAGGGCGGGCGGAGGTAGCTCCGCCGCTCTCCGAGCGTTCCGGGCTCCGCTCGCTCCGGCAGCGCGTCGCCGCCCCCGCCCCCCGCGAGCCCGCCCGCGCCTTAGCTCGCCCGGCGCGCGTTCCTAGGGCGCCACCTCTTTGCGACTCGCTCACTTCTCTGGCAGGTTTGCCTCGGAGCGTGTGAACATTCCTCTGCTGGGCTTTCAACTCGACTCCAACCTGCGCCGCCCGGCCAGCATGCCTCCCCGCCCGTGAAGCGGGGCCACTTCAGCCCTGCAGCTCTAGCCGCCGCCGCCCCTCCGCGCCGCTATTAACCCGCCCTCGCTGCCACCTGGCCCTCCTGTCGACGACACACGCACTTGAAACTTGTTCTCAGGGTGTGTGGAATCAACTTTCCGGAAGCAACCAGCCCACCAGAGGAGGTAGACGGACAGATATGTATATATATGTGGGTCTCGCTACAAGTGGCTCTGGAACCAGAGGGCCTGGTTCGCAAAGAAGCTGACTTCAGGGGGGAAACTTTCTTCTTTTAGGAGGTGGTTTGCCCTGCTCCACGAACCCAGGAAAACGGCTGGCCAGATTAATTAGACATTGCTATGGGAGACGTGTAAACACACTACTCATCATAGATGCATATATAAAACCATTTCATTTTCTCTATTATTTCAGAGGAAGCGCCTCTGATTTTTTCCCCCTCCTTTCCTTTTGGTCCCTTTTTGCCTGTGTGACTTGGAAGAAGCACAATTGGAGTAGCTGATTCCTAAATAAGTAAGTGCTTGAGAAGCTCCCAAGAAAGTTCTTCCTTCTTCTTCTTTTTGTTCACTTTTTTTCTTTTTCTTCTTTGTATCTTGGGAGATGCCCTTGATATTGAAGAAGAGGATATTTGAAAACAGACTAAAAGAGGAGCGGAGTAGAGCGGGTAGATGAAGAGCCCGGACTGACATTTCGGGTCCCCTTCCACTCTTTTGCAGGTCCTGAGCGCTAGAGGATACGATGCTGCGGAGACTGGTTCAGCAGTGGAGCGTCGCGGTGTTCCTTCTCAGCTGCTCGGTGCCCTCCTGCGGGCGTTCGGTGGAGGGGCTCGGCCGCCGGCTGTAAGTGTCCCCATCCTCCCCAAAGCATCGGGTTAGGGAGGCCAGTAGCAGAAGCTGCCAGGCTGGGGCGCTGCCGAGGGCTCCCAGCGGTCACCATGCTACGCGCCCGGGTTAGAGTGAGGGATCATCTGGCTACCTGTAAGGGGCTGAACCTGGTATTCAAACTCGGCAGGAGAGCTGGTTGAACCGAAAGGAGACCTAGGCAAGAGACAAATTTGCTGTGCGTTTCCATAAGATGGAGCGTTTTAGAGAATCTCCTTTAGGGAAAGATCATCTGCTTGTAGTGAAAGACTGGGGACCACGAAAGATTTTGAAACTCAGAGAAAGTGGAGGGATCCTTGGGATACAGGTCTGTGCGCGTGTATATGTTCTGAATGTGGGTGGCAGTTTGTGTGCGGAAAAGCAAAAACCTTACATCTAATTTTATTATGAATGACATAATTTAAGCATATAAATGGGACCATATTACATAATGAAGGCATATTATATAATAAAGTAGTAACAACTTTTCGGTGGCACACTTCCAACATTAGTATTGATACTGTTTGAGAAGGCTAGAGTGCTTGATTACAAATGAATAGGCAACTTTCTTTAGGTATGGAATCTCCTTTTCTTTAATTGTTGTTAATACTTCTTTAATCAAACATTTGCATTGTATTTTGAAAACTTGCATTTTGGCCGTCTTATTGGGTGCTTCTTTTAAGGATTAACTTTGACTTTGACTAACATTCATACATCCAAGCACATCAGAGAACTAGCACTAAGTTATAGGACTGAAAGTTGCAAGAGTAGTAGAATATCACAACCTATTGGACCTAGCAGTTCATTAATGTGTCTAATACCATGTTTGGGTGATCTTCAAACTGCAGACTCCATGTGCAGAATGGGACATCCATACAAGTTTAAGGACTGAGAGAACTTTGACTTTGGAGAAGGAATTAAGGAGAATGTTTACATTTAACAATAAAAATTACAATAACTAATATTGACAGTCAATACAAGGTGCTTCCTTGTAAATTCCTGAAGGTATACAGACAACTGTTTTATATGTGCCCTTGGTCTATTATTATTAAGGCAGAAAATTCTTAAATTACTGTAGACATGTCTGAACCTTGGCACCAAAATGAAAATCTAGTATGAATCTCCTAAGGCAAATTGTGTAGAACATTGTACTCAGATAAAGCTGCATTGTGTTCTTCAAATCAATGTTTTGCTGATGAATTTCTGAAAATTGTCTTCAGACTTCTTGCTCATTTGGGGACATGTGTTAAATTCAGTTATTTAACATCCAAATATAAATATAGAAGAAGACTGAATTTTTAAAAGTGTACTCACATGCACTTATTTGGCTTGGAACATAGCCAATTTTTCTTTAGAGTTGCTAAAGTAATACCTATTTTCTCTTTTGAGAAACAGTAAATAGATCATGATTAAGTTCACAATTACAGCAAATATCAAGGGCTAAGTTGTCCTAATGACTATTTTTAACTCTTTCTTTGTTGCACCTTGCAATATATACACATCAGAAACCATTTAGCAGCCAGAGACTCTGTTAGTGTTTTGTTTGTGGGTGAAATACAATATTGTAGTTAAACACACTCAGCAGATGGTTATAAAACTACCACAAAACATTCTCATAGTTAATGGCTAGTAGATCATCACATTACAACCATGGTTTTTCATGGAAGCTGAAATCATCAGTAGATGAAGATGTTTCATCAAAATATTACAGCCAAATGAAGTTTTAAAAAACAAGTCATTATTTTTACATTGCTGCCAAGTAAAGTAAATTTTGTGTGCTAGACAAAACATTAATCTACTATTACACAAAATCAAGCTAGCTTTTTGAAAGAAATTTTAACATGTAACCAAACCATATTACTCCCTAAATTTTATATCACACATTAGGGGAACTCCTTATGAAGTACAGGTCTTCTTAAACTAGGTTAACTTTTAAGAGACAGAAAACTACTCGGACAACACTTCCTGAAGTATGCAAAGGAGGCACTTACAAATTGTGAATCTGTCAGACCTGTTAGTCCAAAAGAGCCTCATCAATGGGGCTAGAATATAATCAAGTTGAAGATTAGGAAGTGGGATCTATGAAGGATAGCTTGGCAAGTGACTACCTCTGTGTTTAAAGTTAGAGAGGGAACCCCAACAGATTGAGAAACCTAAAGCATCATTGGCTGATTTGCTTGGGAGCCAGACTGGGTCTACTCCACTTAATGAAAAGCATAACTTTCAACTGAGTCATATGGGTTGGAAGGGACTTCTGGTGAGTCATTTTAACTCTAACACCCTAACCCTGTCTCTTCCATGTACCACAGAACTTTTCTTCTTAAACTCAGAGTCCTTGCTTAGGAGCTTCACATCAGCACAAGCATGCTGCTTCTTCCTGTGCTGGAAGAGGAATTTCCATTACTGTTTATTCCCTCTGTTCCTTGATAGTTCTTTAGAAATTTAATCTGTTTCCCTGAAAATTCCCCTGAGAGTGATTTTTCTTTAAAGCAGAACAGCTATGTTTTGACTGAATTAGGGTTATCTGTCTTAAGCATTTTCCCCCCAATTTTTTAGTTTTCTTTTACAATAGTCAAAGGAGATCATAGAGCATAAGACTCGTTTTTCCATGTTGGAGCTTGGGTATGTAATAAATGCCATGTGAACCACCAGGCGAGATAATGTGTACACACATATTGAATAACAGACTATTATTGATGCCATATTTACAACTTAAATATTTCAGAGTTATCTAAATTGAAAACCTCCTTAATTTGAATTTATTACATACCACCTAGATATAACTAGTTTGTACATGCCAGTCATTTATCCCTGTGTCAGTTCATGCCTTATTTTGAAAATAAAGGAAACATTTCATGGACCTTATTCCCTGTTGATGATAAAGTTATGACTGTATTCCTGATACTCCAATGCAATTTCCCAGAGATGTGGGCTTCACAATATTTTAAGGGAAGAAGTCTTTGAAATACTAAATTACTTGCCTAACAGCATTTCAGAAAATTTGTGTTTTCTAACATCCTAACAATTTCCCCTAACAGGCAGATAGAAAGCATTGTACCTCACAAAAGTTGCACTATTTTAAACTGGATGGAGTTGTGCCATATTGTATGCTTTTTATAAAATGGATAGGGTGATCACTCCATTTCCCATGGGAAAGTGCAGTTTTTAACTTGGGAAGGCACTGTGACTCACAGTTGACAGGCTGCCCAAGATGACAGGCATATATGCCAGTCAGAGGGGGCATGAGCAATGGTGGCTTGATTTGAACAGACTGACTATTAAAAGTTTGGGCTTAGAGTTAAACTAGAATAAGCTGTATAATATATTTGGGGAGCAATGCAGATGAGAAGAGGTATCAGCCAGGAATTGAGAAATTAAATGAAAAGTCCTCAATACTATCAATTATCACTGGTTAAGAATTTTGTTTTAATATAATATTTTAGGAATAGATAATTATTAAATTGCTGTGCTTATAAAATATATAATTATATTAGCCCTATTCTTTAAAAATGTTCTTAGAGGATATAAATATATTGTGCCCAGACCTCAAACTTGTAGATTATTAAAAGTTTCCAGAATACTAACTATTACCACAGAGTAAGTGAATTTTAATCTAGTCACATGTGGCACCTTCATAAAGGAGGAGAGACTCCTTCATGCCTCATTTAAACCAGGCTCCTGTTAAATTCCTTTCCGTTAAGTCATGTCTTTTTTGAACAAGCTACATGGCTTAAAGTCAGTGCACACACTAAAATACTAGAAGGAAGCTGGCATTCTAGCTACACGGGCCAGAGAAATGATGACTGAATTTTCATCCCTCTTACTCTCTTCTTTGACTCATTCCCCCAAAGATAAACCAAACTCTAGGAATCCTAGTTCCTTATTTTGGAGATGCAAATGGACTGTGGGAGCATTTGGTCAAGGAAACTGATAAATTTCTGCCTGATCTGTCCATTGTGGAGGAGCCTTGATACACTGTGTCCTGCCATAGGCTTTGGCTTCAGCTTTAGCAGGAGAAAGGGTTAAGGACATTGAAAATTTTACTTTTAGAATCAGAAGACCTAGTTTTTGGAGCCCTGGCTCTGCCAGGTCTCATTGTGTGGACTAGGGCAAATCATTTCATTCCTGCATCTCATTTCCTCATCTATAAAATGGGGGAAATAATACTTTTTATTATTCCCATATTTCACTGAAGAGTTGATGAAACCCTACCAGCGTTACAAGGAACCCAGACACCATTGTGTCAGGGAAGCATGAATACATGGGATGTAACCCTGTGAAATACTCTCAGGTATTCTCAAAGATGAGTGAATTTGCAGGGCTGTTCCAATGGTAGAAACTGGAGTTAGGTAAGACTGAGTTAAAGCAGGCATGATTAATGTATGTAATCCTTAAAATAATTCACAGTGTACACACAAAATAAAAAAAAAGGAATACATGGGTGGATATCTAGGCAAGAGTCATGGTGTCATCTAAAAGGAGTGATGACTAGTTGATTCTTTTCCACTATATTTTCATTAGAGTATTATTTAAATAGAAAAATCACTTCACAGTTGTTCCCAGAGATATTTTAAGAGAAATTACATAGACAAGTGGACTTCTCAAGTACTAAAGGTAATACCCTCAGAAATTTTAAGTTAAAAAAAAAAAACCTTGAAACACAGAAAAAAAAATAGAAATGATCTCATACACAAGGAAACACAGTAGAAGACAGCCTTCTACTACTATTTTATGGAACACTGCCCCCCCCCCCAGCCTTTAGTTATAGGTTCTTGGTTGCTGGTCATCTAAAATTTTAAAATTCAGCCTGTTAGATGGTTTCCTAGATTGATTCCTTAATGGGGCAACTGTGTGTGTGTGTGTGTGTGTGTGTGTGGTGTGAGAGAGACTGAGGGTTAGAGACAGATAGTCGTAGGTTTAGGAGCGTACTCAGGTAAAAGCAGCTTTCTTTTTATTTCCCAGGCTAGGACATCTGGATTTATATCCCCAACAGAACTCTGAAAAATGTGAAGAGAAACTCAGTGGTTTCTATTTCTGAGCTTAACTGAATCACAGCATTTAAAATTGGGAAAGGAGCATAGAAAACCTCTGAATCTAACCCCTTCCTTTTAAAAAGATGAGGTCCAAGAGTGCCCTTTTCTTACCAAGGCCACAAACTTAGGGAGCAGCACTGGGACTGAGGGCTGCTGTCTCCCAAGGGCTGCCTTTCCCATCCTCTCCCCTTCCCTGCTCAGCCCCATGGCCACTCCTCAGTTTGTGTCCTTTAGAGGACCATGTAGAAGACTACAGGGATTTGCTCACAGCTTCCCTGACTCTTCCAACCACGACAGCTTAACCGTCTTTTTCCCCTCCTGTCCCTTTGTGCCTCTGACAGCAAAAGAGCCGTGTCTGAGCATCAGCTCCTCCATGACAAGGGGAAGTCCATCCAAGACTTACGACGCCGGTTCTTCCTTCACCATCTGATCGCAGAAATCCACACAGCAGAAATCAGAGCTACCTCCGAGGTTTCCCCGAACTCCAAGCCCGCTCCCAACACCAAGAACCATCCCGTCCGATTTGGTTCTGATGATGAGGGTAGATACCTAACTCAGGAAACCAACAAGGTGGAGACCTACAAAGAGCAGCCACTCAAGACACCTGGGAAGAAAAAGAAAGGCAAGCCTGGGAAACGCAAGGAGCAGGAAAAGAAAAAACGGCGAACCCGCTCTGCCTGGCCGATCTCCGGAGCTGCTGGGAGTGGGCTGGACGTGGACCACCTGTCTGACATCTCCACAGCTTCGCTGGAGCTCAGTTCACGGTAACAGCCTTTTCTGGCCCCCGACTTCTCCCTGTGGCTCAGCTGGATTTTCCACCCTCCATTCTGCTCTGGCTTGGGCCAGCCTATAATTTCCTCCCTTTCTGTACCTTTATCAATTGCTATACAACTTAAAAACATTCAAAAACAAGATAGGCCAGAATATTATCCTTGCCTTGAAGCAAGATCCCTTCACCCTGCCCCTAATTACCTGTTTTACAGCCCATTTCTCTTCCTTTTACCATCATACTCTCAACACCAAATCTTTAACTACTCTATTAAGTCTTTTGCTCAGGCTTCAGAAACGACTGGACATCTTCATCATTTGTTGGGGACAAAAATGCCTTTAATCACCCACTTTCACATCTTGACAAACTTTTTGACAGTTTTTCACATTTTATTTTATTTTTTTTCACTTCAAGGAAGAACATAGAAGGCTTTGATACTATCTACAAACACTGCAGAACAAATATCTTACCATAAACAATTCTGAGCCATTCACACTTGATTTAATTAAATTTACTTAATTAAATTTTAAACTCATTTTAATTCAAAGAAATTAGGTTATTTTTAAGCACATGCTTTAAATTTAATTAAATTCAACTCTGGTTTCTACCAGTTCATGAAAAAGAAATGGTTTCTGAAAACCTTCACGTATTGGCTTAAAAAAAGATATGTTTTCTCATATATCTATTTGTCCATTGGCAAATCCAAATTATTTTTCTGGGGCAGTGCAGTAGGAATAATAAAACTTCATATTTAAGTGGCTCATTTAGTAAATATACTTATGGACTTTAGAGTTAAGTAACTTAGGCTCAGGTTTAGGGTCTGAACTTATTGAAGTTGAAAACCTCAAACAAGTTACTTAGTCTAAGGCTCACTTTTGTCTTCTGTGAAATGAAGAAAACAATTGTACCAACTTTATAGAGTTGGATGGAGATTAAATGAGATTATGTGGGCTGAATGCCTGTCATAAACACTCAATAAATTGCAACATTTTGTTTTTTGGTGCTTTTAGACCTAGTTCTGGTTAAGAGAGAGAGAGACAGACAGACAGACAGACTGATTGACTTTTGATTGATTCAGTGAGGGGGGAAATGGCGCAAATAGTCCTTTTATAAAATAGAAAACCAAAGCATTCCACAATCAAAGAACCTGCGTTGGTACTTGGAATGGAATAGGTAGTCCTCAGAACTGGATTTCCCGATTGCCTCACACTTAGATCAGCGCTATGTTAGCACGGCTTCTCTATTCATGCATTTCCATTGATAGGACCTTTTTTGTTTTTTACTTTTCAGTACAGCGCTTCTGTGGGGTTTGAAAGAAAGAGGAAAAGAACACAAGAATGCATCATATGCAACTAATGATCTCATTATTTAAAGAGTCCCCTGTTACTCCTCCATCCAGTCCTTTGACTCTGGTACAGATAGGATTACAGAGTGATGTTTCAAAGGGGAGTGTGAACCTGTTCACCATCATGTCTCTCTTTGAGTTAAGTTGATAAATTCATTACTAAATGGCATATAAAATAGCAATTCTATTAGATAAGTGTACAGCTTCAGTAATCAATGGGTAATGGCACTAGAGAAATTTTTAGCATTAAAGATTTAGGAATTTTTTGCTTTTCTTTCTTTAAGCTGTACACAAATTAAGCTGTGCTAAAATTCTGAATGAATGACCTATTCTTAAAATACTAATAGATGGACATCAAACCCTGTGAACCTGACTCACTGCAAATGTGCAGTATATTTCAAGATATGATCCTAACTGCACATGCTTACAACTATGCAAAGACCTTACTTTATTTCTGAGACCTATTTTTATTCATTGTCTTAATGTATATGTATATATACATATATATGTGTGTGTGTATGTATATACACACATTAGAACTATAAAAACAGAAATATAAGTGGTCTTTATGGACTTTGCTCATTTAAAATTTGCAATTCTCTTCAAGTATCTGGAAAATTAATGAAAATCAACACTCATCAATTCTTAGGCCCAAAGCTACCTCTAGGTTAAAGTATGCCTAGAGAAAATCAGGCAGTGGCCTAATCAAATCCAGACCTAGGCCTGAAAGAAGCAGGATGTTTTTGCTTTTCCTTTTGCTTCCCTGCTTTTGAGGGACACTTTGGAAAGAACAGTTTGTTTGGCAATCAGATGTTGGCATTCCCCCAGTACAACCCAACAGAGGTGCAGGGAAGCATGGGGGAATTTAGGTGTGCGTTGGTGAGGATGTATGGAGCTGTGAAAATTTTTGTAATCCCAATAAAATCTTTTCAGAAAAACTATTTAAAAGTTTTATAAGTGACCAATCTTTTATTAGCGTTCTCTCTTTTGTCTCTTTGCAATATTATATTATTATCTGAGAGGTCTGATGAGATGGCAAGCTTGAGCTTTATTATGACATATGCATTATTTTTTTTTTAAAGAAACTACTGAGGTACAATTGTCTATTTCCTCTCATAGAACTGTTCAGGAGTGAGAATATAGCTTTAATTTTAGAGATTGCATTTAAAAGTTTTAATGTTGCAAAGGAGATAACCAGATATAGTAGGACTCACTTATTGGAAACACATATTTTGATTTAGTAAATACTGCTTTAGAAAAATATAAAAAGTTTTTTAGTAGTCCAAAGAGCTGGAATTCTTAAACATTCATATATGTGTGTATATATATATATATATATATGTATATATATATATATATATATATATATATGAAAAAATGTACACATATGCATTTTAAAAAAATTTTTTGTAGATGTGTATGGACAGAATGCCTTTATTTTATTTGTTTATTTTTATGTGGTGCTGAGGATTGAACCTAGTGCCTCACACATGCTAGGTAACCCCTCTGCCACTGAGCTACAGCCCCCCAGCCCTACATATATACTTTTAGGTCATGTTAGATTTTTTTACTTGGCTTTTCCAAATATGTGTCTTTGTCAAACAGGATGAAACATCATTCAAAGATCTTTTCCTGGGTCTTTTATTTCTTTTGTCTTTCTGTTTTGAGAAAATACTTGTTCAAAATACTATTCATTTCTTCCTTGCCTTTATTATCATTACCTCAATTTGCTAAATACTATTTAATGCAAATGTGTTTTCAGATCACTACAATACATAAATCATTGTGTTTTAAGGTCATTCTTTTGGCTTTATTTATAATACCCATCCACCTACCAGTTAAAATTTTAATCTTAAACTCTTTTTCTCTGTATTTAGGAGCTATTTTAACATTTCAACCAAAACCACTGATGAAGAGCTCAACCTGAACTTAGAAGCCCCTAAATGCTAAAATTTGCTTTTCTTTCTTTAAGCTGCACACAAAACTTGTCAAGAGTTTTCTCTTTTGTAGGTCTCATACCCATATACTTTTGCCATGTAAAACTCTGCCCACAACTCTAGTCATTAATTAAAAGACACAGATAATCAAATTCCATTTTATGGTTGTTTCCATTGAAATAAATGCATATTTATGCAATAGGCTACACAGAGAAGAAAAGGGGAAAGAAAAGACTGCTAACCCATCTTAAAATACTGTTATTACAGCATCTAGATATGTTAGAAAATTGTCAGTCGTACTTTGTGTAACATACTCTGAATAATAAAATAGACACAGTAATGTGAAATACTAATATTTTGTACTTTTAAATCAATTTATTCTTAAGTATTCTCTCATTTAAAATAAGCTTTCCTAATTTCTAATGCAAGATACATTCAAAATACCAAGAGAATGAGAAGCAAATAATTCTCAGTGTTTGTCTTTGAAATCTAAAATCTAATAACAGTTTTACAAATTAGTGTTTAAAGACAGCTAAAGAAATGCTAGGTATCATCAACTAAACATGCTCTATTTAACTCTATATCCTTTCAGAGATTATTCAAAGTCTCACACTTTCACTAGCCTTACCACAGTTCCATATGTCAATAAGCCAAATGAATGCCTAAACAAAATTAACAAACTCTGGGTCACCCAAGTCAGGCAACGTGTATTGTTGATGGATGTCCCAACCTAGCCTTATTTCCAAATTCTCCAATTTGTCTCTAATTTTACCGGCAGGCAGCTTTGGAAAATTCTCAAGGGGTCCCCTTTGTCTGACAGGGCATAATTAAAAAGGCAGATTCTTTTTACTTTCTGTACCGCGTAGATCATTTAATTGTGTTGAGGCCCTGCCTATAGCAGAGGCTCTGGAGAGACAGGTAGATCCCACAGGTACCTTCCATAGGAAGGTACCTTCCATAGTAATTCTGTGTTCCTTAATTTATTTCCTTTATTTTATTCCTTCCCATTTGTAAGAAAAATTAACCTGTTTTTTCCCTCTTCTCTCTCTTTCTTCTCTTTGCAGGAGGCATTGAAATTTTCAGCAGAAAACTTCTAAGGACATATTACAGGATTTGTAATAGTAAACATATGGGAAGTATTAGAAATATTTATTGTCTGTAAATATTGTAAATGCATTGGAATAAAACTGTCTCCCCCATTGCTCTATGAAACTGCACATTGGTCATTGTGAATATTTTTTTTCTTTTTTTGCCAAGGCTAATCCAATTATTATTATCACATTTACCATAATTTATTTTGTCAACTGATGTATTTATTTTGTAAATGTATCTTGGTGCTGCTGAATTTCTATATTTTTTGTAACATAATGCACTTTAGATATACATATCAAGTATGTTGATAAATGACACAATAGAGTGTCTTTATTTTGTGGTTGATTTTAATGAATGCCTAAATATAATTATCCAAACTGATTTTCCTCTGTGCATGTAAAAATAGCAGTATTTTTAATGTGTAAAGAATGTCTAATAAAATATAATCTAATTATACCATGACTCAGAAGGTGAATTACATCCTTTAAGATTTCTAGTGGAAGGAACATGATATAGTTGGGTTTTCAAAAATCTATTTGAATACAGTCTTAGGCTTAGTATATTTATATCAGTACTTATTCCAACATTTCCATGGTATTTTTTAGTTTAAAAACTGCTTAAAATGTTCTTGTCCGATATTTCAGTTCAAGTCAGTAAGAATGGATGAATGACCTAGACATGGTTTTATGAATTATGTTCAATTTGAAGTGAAGACAGGGAGGGCAGTAAATAAGCAGAAAGAAGTCAGGACAAAGGATTAAAAGATTCATAGGGTTGATGAGAGCTAGATGAAAGGAAGAAACAGAGACTTTAGGGCTGGATCATTTTGACCACTGTGAAGTTTAAGAAATCTTGCTTTACTGGTAACATCAATAACAAGCATAAAAGAGCTTGAGAATTCTGCCTCTTATGGATTCCTACCAGAAAAAAAAAAGAGACAGGTTTGGAAAATGTGACAACTCAAAGAACCCTCAGAGATAAGATTGGTTTCCTGCAACTGGGCAATTCCTAGAACTCTGGTTGCAAACATGGTGGAATGCCAGATGAACGCTTCCTCCATTGTGAATATCATCCTACTTGTTCCTACCTCTACACTCAAATGAAAACACAAACACGGTTCCTTCTGTAGAACTTTTTGTTTTAACTGTCTATAGCTTAGGACACACACACATACACACACACACACACACACGACAGAATTTTAAAAACCTATGGAGTATTCTATGGACACCCAATATCTTATTCAATGTCTATTAGATGTTTGAGGGGGTACCACTTCAGTCAGCTTTTTTGTTGCTGTGATCAAAAGATCTGACAAGAACAATTTTAGGAGGAAAAGTTTATTTGGGGGCTCATGGTTTCAGAGGTATCCATCCATAGATGGACAACTCCATTCCTCAGGGCGCAAGGTGAGACAGAAGATCATGGTAGAAGAGTGTGGTGGAGAAAATCACACCAGGAAGATGAGAGATACTAAAAGCTCAGCTCATCAAATATATACAACCAATGCACCACCTCCTCCAGTCACACCCTACCAGCCTACAGTCACATTCAGTTAATCTCCCTATCAGGAGATTAATTCACTCTCAAAACTCAATCATTTCATCTCTAAACCTTCTTGTATTGTCTCGAACATGAGCTTTTGGGGGCCACCTCATATCTAAACCATAACAGGTGTGCAAGAAATAAAATGTGACTCCCTTGAAACTTTCTCTCACTCTAATGGTAAGCTACATGAAACAACTAAATATTATCTCAAAAAACCGACATTATGCAAAATTCCATATATATTTTTAGAAAGCAAAGAGAAAAAAGCAACACATAGGGAGAGATTAGTTTAGACGGGATGTAATTAGAATTGTGTTTCTGAAAGGAGGATTCTAAGATTAAATTTACTAATATTTTCACTTGAGCCCCATAGCCCCCAAAATAAGGCCCATCTGACCATTTTTGGTTAGCATTTTAAACCTGTATTAATAGGTAAATAAAATAATTTGTGCTGAGCTTCACCCATGATTTTGTTGGAGATGATTTTGCATCCAAGGAAACTCAGAAGTTTAAGTTTGATACACTGACCCTGTGTAAAAAGGTAGTTGAGATGTCTTAAAAATAGATATAATAGGGGGTTGGGGGTGTAGCCTAGTGGTAGAGCACTTACCTAGCATGCATGAGTTCATGGGTTTGATCCCCAAGAATGCAAAAACAAAACAGTTATAACCACATTTCACAAAACTCAATCTGAAACTCTGAATCTTAAGTAAGACTGCATCAAATCCTTCTAAGTTGTTCACATGAAAGATGTTTTCTAGACACTAGCTTGATAAATACTTAGAAATTAAGGGAAAGAAGCATCAGATTCTACTTTAAATGCAAGTCATCTTTATGTTTTTCTTCACAAGTAGCCCATAGTAAAAAGGGGGAAGAGGGAATGTGGGTTTATAGTTGTTAATGCTTAACACAGCATTATTAATATCAATAATGCCTGCAGTTAAACCCTGGTTCTCTAGCACTGATAAGAATAAAATCACAGGATAATGGAGTGAGAAGTTGAAATGGGGAAAGAAAAAAAAAAACCTTTGGGAAAAAGATGTCATTTTCTATGGGGAAAAAATACCTAAAATACATAAAGTTTTTAAAAAGTGTTGAAATGTAAACACATTCTTAGCAAATTGCAATCTAAGTGACTATAGCTTATCCTTGACTTAAATAATATTTATAAAGCAGTGCAGTTTAAATAAAGGCAAGTTTGTCTAAGCATTCTGGAATTAAAAAAATAAAATAAAACTTTTTCTGCTAACCATTACCATCCTTAAATTTTATTCAGACAGAAATTTGGTATTTAACTGGACACCTAATCTGTTTGTGGATGTTGTAGAGCCATCTCCATCTCCAAAAGACAGACACTTCTGTAGGAAAACCGTATTCCTTTCCTTTGTATTTTCTTTTTAAAGCACACGCTTGTGACATAGCTAACATATTCAGAGCTACATTAAGTTGCTGTTTTGTTTGTTTATTTATTTGGATTTTGGTACTGGGGACTGAACCCAGAGGTACTTAACCACTGAGCCACATCCCCAGCCCTTTTTAATTAATTATTTTTATTATTATTATTTTTTTTTTGTCAGGGTCTCACTAAGTTGCTCAGGGCCTTGCTAAATTGCTAAGGCTGGCTTTGAACTTGCGATCTTCTTGCCTTGCCCTCCAGAGCTGCTGGAATTACAGGTGTGTGCCCAGCCTCAGAGCTGCATTAAGTTGAGAATCAAATCAATGCTATTATTGGTACTGAAAATATTTCATGTCAATATTGGTATCTTCCTTCCTATTACAAAAATTAGTTTGCATTGCAGGCAGTGTTAATCTAAGAAATATGGAGAAATTGAAGATTTTGGGGGGAGAAAGCATAACCATACACTTTGATAGATAAAAATTCCTTTCAAATTTTTTATTACTTATTCTGAGTGCCAGTTGGGAAAGGCAGCTATTTAACTTTCTGTATCAATAACAAAAGGAGTGCATGTTTCTAAAATTCAAAATGCTCTCTCTCATATGCTACATAATGGATCCAATAGGAAGAATAAAGTCAAGTTTTACTTCAATTTTACCAAATCTTCAATTCATTAAATAAACACTGAAATATGGTTTAAGTGCCCATCCATATTTATAGCATTCAAGGTATGGCCTCATGTAAAAATGCTTAATACACCATCAAAGGATATTAACTGTGGGATAATCTAGAGTAACTCTAAATTATCTTACAGTTTCCTGATACTTTTTCCCTTTGGCCATAAAGTCCATGAAAAAATAGAGCCAGTGGTGGACAGAAACAACGTCCACAGGGTGTTTGTCTTCTGTAAACAGTGTGGACTGTTTGTTTGTTTGTTTGTTTGTTTTGATTTTGTTTTATTTTGTTTTTGTGCCAGGGATTAAAGCCAGGGCCTTGTGTACATGAAGCAAGCGCTCTACCAATTGAGCTATATCCCCAGCCCCAGTGTGGACTTTTACTGAGAGCACTAAGCAGAAGTGTTTCTAGCACAGCTATCATTCCTTATTTTTTTTAAAAAAAAAAAAGGGAAAAAGACATTCCAAGCACAAATATTTGCCACTTCCCTTCATTAATAACCCAGAAGGTATAAAGTACAAGATTATTATGAAAGATACTATTGTATAGTTAGCTCAATGCTGCCATATAGTGACTCCTAAAGACTCAACTGAACCTTCAGAGGCAGTATGAAAACACTGACTGTGATTCCCAAGACTAAGGGATTATTTCAAGGAATTACCAAGTTCTGGGGTTAACTTCTTAAAAGAAGTATATTGCTTCCAAGTCATGGGTGTTGCTTCCCTAATCATCTTGAGGACTTCTTAAAGGCAGGAACCTTGTCTAAATCAGTATATACCATCCAACAGTAGAGAACAGCACTAGCATATAGCAGGTGCTCAATCAATTCTTTATTAAACAGATTTTTCAAGTTTTTTTCAGTTTCTGGATCAACTGACTGAAAAGCACAGCTAAAGGAAACCTCTGCTGGAGGTCAGAGATGAGTCAGAGTTTGGGGTATTTTCAGACTCCTATGTCATAGCCTTCTCTTATTCCAATAACAGGAAGCTTAGAGAGCAACAGCTCCAAGCTATCAGCTCTTCACCAGAGTGCCCTTTGTTTTTAAGCCTCTAGCTTAACAGGAACTTTTCCAGCCCTATAAGTACAAGAAGCAAGGGTTTGTGTTGAGTATACATCAACCTCCCAGAGGAAGGGAGGAGAATTTAAAATATCAGGTTTTCTTCCTATGAATGCACAGCACAGAAGTTACCCACAGGGCCCAGTTGTGCAAAAGAGGCACACTGCTATTTTGACAGAAGATTAATGTACACAGTTCCCAACCAGAGCTACCCAAGATCAGGATGAGAACATTCACATCTCTGTGTAAGTTTCTGACATGCCCATGTTTACAAGCGCAATGCATAAGGGATATGTTTTCAAATTGAATTTTAATTAAACTTCAAAACATCTCCCAAAGACTTTCCTTACATTTTCCTTCGAACTGGAAGACATTTACAAATTGGAATTAATACAAAATGTGTTGCCCCTGAAAAATGGATTGTTTTAAGGGTGAATTCTATTC